ATTATTGAGCTCCGAAAGCATACAATTTCTTGTATCCGCACATGTTCGTTCATCCAGATTATTAATAAACCATACAACAAATCTTGATTATTAAACAAGTAGTAAGATGAGGATAATTTCTTTAGCTCTTGGATTTCAAGGGCTTGTGGATGAATCAAGGAAGTAGACGGAAATAAATTGAGCTATAATAATCGCAAAGGCCCCGTATAAAAGAGCGATTGCGCACCATTGATGAAAATCCCAATCGAAGATTTCATCCAATTCAGAAGTCTTCTCGACATTATCACCATCTTTTACGTTGTAAACCTTATCACTAGCTGTTTTAAGGAATGTAGGCTGGTTATTCCTCTCCAGATCGATGAAAGAGTTATTAATAAGAATGGAATGATTTGGAACATAATTAGAAGCCAAAAAACGTTCGGTGATGGTTTTAATATTGTCTGTAGAATTATCGATTTTCTCATTTACAATATCGGTAAAGCGAAATCGAATGGTTGATGTTGTTTCAAGAGTCGGCTCAATCTTTTTAAATGTTTCGAGGATTTCTTGGATTCGCGGTTTATCACTAATCCTCAAGAAAATTTCTTGTAAGATTGTTTGATTTTTGTTTGATTCGAGAAGGTGTGTGTGCACTTCACACTTGAGATTGGACCTCAGTTTATTGGCGTCACTATTCATGATTTTTTATAAGGTGATTAGGGTTCTTAAGTCTTTTGTTGCTGACGATAATAAAGTTATCTGAGAGCAAAAAGTCTTATTTATATATTTGAATATTGACACAAGATCCTGAAATGAGCTTTTATAATATGCATAAGCGATTAAAGTACATCTCTGTCCTAGCAACAAGATAATTATTTAGCTAAAAATAGTTTTGTTATTGGTCAAAGCATATTACAAAAAATCCGGTTTACTACGAATAATTAAAGCGCTTACGGGAAAACCCTAACCTGTTTCGGCTGTTCATTTATTCAGCTAGAACTTTGGAAAACTATTACGCGAGATTGTGATTCGCGTAGCATCATTTAAGCACACAGATTCAGGAGAATGCAACTTATTATTATGATAAATTTGAAATATAAAACCTTTTTTTGAAGTACAAAGATGCATTTTTTTAGTTACGTTGAAGCAATGAATAAAGGTGTTTGAGGAAACTCCAATTAACAGAGAAGAATGCTTGTGAAACATCTAATATAGCATTGAACTCTAAAAATATAGACAGATTAATGCTTAAAGATAATGAAAGGCAGTCTTGTTAGGAGCAAAGCTCTTTGAGAAATAATAGCTTAGATATTTGATCATAATCATACGTACATGAAATTCGCGTGTTTAACATTGTCCAACGATAAAAGTCGATCATGTACTACATACATCTCTTCAAATGTTTTACAAAGCAACAGTTTATCAATAAATCACCGAGCAGACAAAGACAGAAGACAATGAACAAAGATTATCATATATACATGTACATGTACATGCACAGTGCAGTATTCCAAGAAAGGTGGTTTATAAATCAAAGTTTTTTTGTATGGTTTATTAATAATCTGGATGAACGAACATGTGCGGATACAAGAAATTGTATGCTTTCGGAGCTCAATAAT